CAGTTAGGGTACTTATAACCTTACTTACTAAGTCCCATGATCCTCCGAATACGCCCCTAAAACAAAGTCCTAAACCCCAAACCCTACGTCCTAAACCCCGAAACAGCTCATCTTCTTGCCTGAGCAGGCGATGAGCTCAAAGCAGACCCAGCGACTTCTGGGAGATCACCCGTGTTTGCCCCGGAGTTGGCTACAAGATTATGACTTTTTAGAACGGTCTGCAACCGAAAGTGTTCGGAGCATGAATGTAGTCTAGGTGTTTGATCTGAGTATCTGCTGTATTCGGTAATGTCGAAGAGCATGAGCGGAAGGATCCTAAATCCTGCTGTAGCCACTAAACCCCGAACCCCAAATCCTGCTGTAGCCCCTAAACCCAAAGCCCCTAAACCCCAAGCCCCTAAACCCTAAGCCCCTAATCCCCGAGCCCCTAATCCCCGAGGCCCCGGCGCCAAAAAAAGCCCCTAAACCCACAACCCTAAACCCTAAACTCTACTACCCTAAACCCCAAACCCTACTACCCTAAACCCTACTACCCTACTACCCTAAACCCTAAACCCACAACCCTAAACCCTAAACTCTACTACCCTAAACCCCAAACCCTACAACCCTAAACCCTAACTCCGATGTAGTAAACCTCGTCTTCTGGACGAGGCCGAGGCAGGGCTCTCATGCAAACTTCCCGTCCTACTACAAAGAGCGGTGCTTACTTGGAGGTTCATAGGTAGTTATAAGGTTCCATTAAGGGTCCCTTTAAAGGGATCTATAGGGATTCTATAAGGGTATAGGGTTTAGGGCCTACTTGGAGGTTCATGGGTAGTTGTAACTGGGGTTTTAAGTCCCTGACTATGGGCTATAATTATGGTTACCCTACTTGTAACTCCACTTAATAGCTACCCATGAACCTCCAATTAGTGCAGATAATTTGTTATACTTGGAAGCTCCTCAATCCGGGGACCAACACTAAGCCCTTCTTGGAGGTTCATGGGTACTTGCAACCCACTTCTACCTACCGTTTGAGGACATTTTGGGTGTGAGGGTTTGTCTGGACCCCAAATTACCTACCTTCTTTAAGGACTTATACTAAGAAACCATAGTACGGAAGCCTAAAATCGGTGGGCTTCACAGGGTCCAGGTGGGAGGAGCTCTGGCCCTCCAAATGTGCGAGTTTCCGAATATAGGGACCCGAATATAGTGCCCTAAACAGTAGGATCCTTATTTTAAGGACTCCAAAATAAGGTACCCCCAATTTTCGGAAACTCCCATGTATTCCGAATATAGGGGACTTTGGTCTCGAGGACGCCCTTCGGGTGAGTTTCGCATACTTGCGCATTTCGATCTACCTCTGTGAAAACGAGGTGACCTGCAGTGGCGGACGACCCTGGCAAGGTGCGCCGAGGACTTGTTCTAATTGTAGCATAGTGAAGCCCAAATCATTATTCCAACACTCTTAAACTGGATTATAGGATGAGGTAGCCCACAGCATGAGTGTTGGCGCAGTGTAGCTGGCAGCTTTCGACGCTTTAACAAAGTTCAGAGTCTAGATGAGTTTAGAGTTTTCATGCAAGAGTTTCTGGTGTCGAAAGCCAGTTCGTGGTCGAAGCAACACCATCGCATGCCTGTATTTCGCAAGATGACAGCCTCTTGGAAGCATGCTTGGGCCGTTTCAGCGGCTTCGTGCCTGACCCCAAAAGGCAACGTGACTATACGTTGGTTGAGGATGTCACACTGCTTGTACCTATGTTGCAACCTAAGCATTGACTTCAATCTCGATCAAGGGATTTTCAGATAAAGCTAGGTGACGCATCCAACGAAGCCAGATCTGTTCTGTGCCCCTCACAAGCCAGATTACCAGAGCAAGCTCCAGATGTTATGTTGGGCAGATTGTCTTACCGACTTACAGGGTCACTGCGCAACGAAGAGTGTTCCTGCAAATGCATAGAGGATCCTGTGCAAGCCATGCATCTGCGCCATGGGCAGGATTCAAGCGGCAAGCGCTGAGACTGTGTGGGATCCCGTCTTGAGGTACCTTCCGCTTGAGGGCTATGGAGACGATAACGACGGGGCACCTCCGCTGAACCTGAGGTGTGCTTGGCATTTACACAGACGCTTTTGGAGCCTTTGAAGCGTCGAAGTCTCACACATCCTTGTATGGTCTGCCGGCCAATTTCCCTAGCTCACACGAAAGTCTTAATTGAGCATGCGTCGATTTGTATTGATTCAAGCGTCACCAGAGAACTTTCGGTATTGACTCGGGTGGCATCATGCATCTGTCTCGAGTCTGACCGGGGAGAGCGAAGGTGCTTCAGAATTACTACCGGGACTGCTATGACCGTGACGGTGGCGTTCTCGTGGATTGCACAGAGGCTATTAAGGTTTACATCGACATAGTCGGGCACGAGTTGAAAACAGTCGACGATCATCGCGAGGAGCTCCCTGACAGTCAAACGGCCAAAAGTTGTCTAGAGTTTCTTTTTTCAAGAACGTATATGTGGCTTGCTGCTTGACATGATTTGCAGTGCCTCTATGCAGAACCCAAGATTCCGGATGGTCTTCATGTTGAAGCTCGCCTGGTTGGATCCCGACCTGAAAAACTTCAAATCCGTCATCACTGTTCGTGACTCAAACGCCGGGACAAAGCTTCATTTGCACCAGCTTGACGTCGTCGTGACGAAGATGTATGCAAATGGCGACATCGAGTTCATAGACCTTTCTGATCCTGAACAGAAGACCCAGGTCAAACGTCGACGTGACTACCTCAGCTTGAAGGAACCCGAGTGGAAAGAGTGCTTCTTTCCCACATTCTCGTTTATTAACATGCAGAATGACCCGGCGCCGGCCGGGACCACAAAGCTGCTTTGGTGCAGCGACGCAGGTGGGTTTGTTTCCTACACGGTCAAGTACGATGCGACGTTCAAAGAGTTCTTCGATCTTACAAACTTCCCGAAAGACCATCAGCTCTGCAGGACACGATTGAAGCTTCTGAGCAGGGGGCGTTTGTTCATTTTTTCGATTGTCTGTGCGTGGACGTGGGTGTGTATGTTTGTGGGGGTGGTGTTTGTTTTAGTTTTTCAAGTCTAGTGTGCATGTCTTGGCATGTGCGCATGAGTGCGTGTGAGCGTGCCATTGCAGGATTAGGCTGACAGCCGAAAAAACTGCGGACGAGTTCCAGCTGCTTGACAAAAGGGATTAAGGGTCCTGCTGTGGTGTCGTGCTGACCCTCGCAAGATCCTAGGTTCGTGCCGGTCAAGAAGTGGTTCTCCAGCCCGCAGATGTGCGACATGTGGACGTTGGACGAAGAAATTCAGAAGAAATGCACTGTCTATGCCCGCTACTTGGACAGGTGGGGCTTGCAGTTGAAGAACCCGCAGCACAGGGATGGCATTTAGGTCTTTTGGTGCGACTGCGATGTTGTGACCAAGGCGATGCCGTCAAGCATGCTACTTTCAGATGCTAATGCTGCAAATGTCGACTTAAAGGATCATGGGAATTAGTAACTAGGGTTATAACTAGGGTAACTATACCTATAACCCCCAATTCATGTACTCATAACCTTACTTACTAAGTCCCATGATCCTCCAAGTAATGTCCAGCCAGGAGCCACAATCCTCCAAGCCATGATGTAGGGCGACAAATCCCCAGACGAAAGCTTACACTGTGTGCCGCTCCGCGCCGCAGGCAATTCCCGTACCAGCTGCAGCGCTCTTGCGTGAATGCCGTCTTCCACTTGGAGCGCAAAGGCGCGTGTTTGGTTTCGTTTCGATTTGATTGCGTGAATCATCCTAGTGAGCCACAACCATGAGAAAGCTTGCAGCCAGTGCGTGCTCTGTGAGGTGATTTCTACTTTCACTCGATGCTCTTTATGGTCTTTCTCGTCATCGTCGTCAGTCTGTGCACATTGGTGATTCCCCTGGAAGATGTCAGTGGAAGACTTGCTTATTCGAGCACTTGTTTCCTTGCGGTCATGGCATACCGCTATACTCTTGATGCCATGCTTCCACGCAAGGATTACTTCACACTAGCGGACAAGTACGTGATTTTTGCTTGTGGCCTTCAAGTGGCGATTGTTCTTCAGACGGTGATACTACAGTACATCGATGGCCTTGTTGCAGACCCCAGCTCTATCGACAAATGCGCTGGCCTGGCTCTGTTATTTGCATGGCTGGTGGTGAACTATTACCTCCGCAGGATATCAAGATCGAAGCCAGAAAATGATTGGAGAAGCGTGTACCAAGCTCGCCGAGAGCCTTATGCTCCTGTCAAGAGGTGTTCGAATTGCGGGGAGAAATGGCTGAGCAAGCAATGTGAGCACAAAGGATGCCCACGAAAATGTGGTAACTGCCATGCCCCAAGTTCCAACATAGAGGTTGTTTATTACACTCCTTGCGAGTTTGAGAGTTTTGTCAAGCCGCAGAAGTTCCCTGATGCGCCACGTGAGTTGAAGCAAGCGCCTTGCGAACCCTGATAGTGGTGTTAGCTTGCGCAGTTGCTTTGTAGTTGTCGAAGGTCGCGTCTCTCTGCAGCGCGGAGGTGGTAGTACAAGCAGTTCCCAAAAGGGCGAACAGAACTTGGGAAGCTACCTGCAGTACGCTTGACGATGCATCCTCAGAAAAAGGACGGGACCTTCCGACCTTCAAAGCCTCAGGTAGTTCCTTTTTGGGGTGAGGCTTTGATGATTCGTGCGTTGAGAGCCCAGGGTTCGGTGGGTATGCCTTGCTAAAGCCCCCCCCAGCACATGCGATTAGTGCTGTTCAAGGCATGCCAACAAGGTCAGAGGCCCCTCATTCTGCAACTTGTGTGTCTCGCTGGTAAAGCCATACCGGTGAATGCTTGGCAATCGCGCAGCAGAGAGAGATGAGAGAGTAATCCTTGAGTTGTTTCTGGTTTACTGTGTTATTGTCTACAATGCTTTCCGAGCAGTCCTGACCTTTTCTGTCATTCTACTGAGAGATTAGCTTTTGCAGCTGTGTTAGCAGGCAAAGTCAGAGCCATGGGCATTGCAGATGCATGGGGCAGGTGATGCCGGCACAAGCCGGGAATTCATCCTCGGCTCACGCGAAGACTTCGACAAGTACATAAGATGGGCTGACATCAAGTTTGTCCGTGCAGCATATTTGGTACAGCTGCACGAGCAAGGGGAGGTGTGGCCAAGGAGACAAGAGGCAGCTCAAGTGAAAGACGCCTTGATTTCCATACCGACCAAGTTCGTTGCGCTGTCCCACATGTGGGAAGCACGTGAGCACCCCGATCCCTTCGGGTTCCAGGCTACGCTGCTAGTTTCAGCTATCAAGGCAAGGCCACGTGCTGAGTGGGACGATGTGGGCTTTTTCATCGATTACATTTCCTTCCCTCAGTTCAGGCGCTCGGACCACGATGAGATTCATTTCCGTCGTGGAACGCAGCACATGCATCTGCTTTTCTGCAATACCAGCGCAAGCTTCTGTAAAGGTGTCTGGTCCATTCCTTGTCGCACACCTTTCTGGAGACTGCAGAAGTTTGTTTATGGCACCTGCGGCTGCAAAGGCATACCTGTGTACAGCGTCGCTGCAGGCGAAGGGGACGAAGGCAAAGTGGTAACAGTGCCGCTTGGACGCCTGCAACTTGGGGACCACCGTGGGAAGTGTGGTCCAGGCTGTTTCGACCGCTGTCCCAACCTCCACTTTAACAACACAGAGTATAACAGACGCGCGTGGTGCCGTGTTGAAGTGGAATGGGCCGCTCCGTACATAGTCGACCTATCAGTGAATGAGACACATTGGTTCCCCGACCTCTGCTGCAATCGCCATTGGGAAGTGGTCAAGGGCTGTCTCTCAGGCTTTGACAGGTTCTTACATCCTCATGTCGCATGCTTGCTGTGCTGCTTCCTCACAGTCTTCGAACACGGAGCCGCAGAAGTAGCAACTCGCAGAGCAACGCTGACATCCGAAGCGTTTCTTGCTGCATCTTCTTTTTTCTTGACCCTGGCCATCTGTGTCGTTCATGCACTGCATGGCCGTCCTGCACTTTCTGCCAAGACTTGCATGGCATTGGCCATGGCAGCTTGGGTCGGTCTTGCAGTGACATTTCGTGTTCTGATGGTGGGCAATCCTCGGTTTCTTTTTCTCCACCTGCCTCCTTTCCTGGCAGCTGCCGCAGCCGTAAGACTTGCAGAGCACAGAAATGCGCTCGATCTGGTTGCCGCCTACCGTAGCATGGATTTATCACCAGAGGTCTTGACGCCAAGCTCCACAGTGCCCATGATGCCTTCGGAGTTCCAGACGATGGCGAGGGAGCAGCAAATCAGATTCACACACAAGGAAGACCTGAAGCTCGTCTTGGATTTGCAGAAGCAGGTCTTTGAGGATAAAGCCCTTCGGGTTGAGGTCTTTGTGGTACACATGCTGTCCTCGCCCTTGAGCAGCAAGCTGCCGGACCTCATCGATCACTACAAGAACTTGCAGAGCTTCGACTTGCGAAGGTCGGTAGTGGATCTGACGAGCAGTGTTCACTTGATCAGGAATCTGCTGCGCAAGCCAGGCATGCGGTCGCTGAAGTTCTGCAGTGTCGACTTTCAGCCCGCTGCTATCAAGAAGCTGGCCGAAGGGCTGACAGGAAACGGCTCGAACAGGCACAGCCTCAGCGAACTGGTCCTTGAAGATTGCAGGCTGCAAGACGACGATGTCGTGTCTTTGGCAGAGGCTTTGATATCTGATCACACGCTGAGGACGCTCAGCCTGGCAATGAATCACTGCCGGGACGCCGGAGCCCTTTCCCTTGGGAAGGTGCTTCAGGAAAATGGGTCCCTCAGGCATTTAAGCCTGAAGTTCAACTGCATAGGGCAGCAAGGCGTCTTCTGCCTGCAGCAACTTGGAAGTCGCCTAGAAAGCCTGGAGCTCGGATTCAATTGTCAAGATCGCCTTCCACCACCCTGGTGGACCGTTCTTCGGCTTTGGCGCTGGGCCGCTTACCGAGTTCCTTGGCGCGTCGGTCTGCGGTTTGCACATGTCATCCGCCATGTAACAGCCATGTGTATGTACCTTAGAGCCTTGCGCAGCATCGCATTGCAGCTGTTAAACAGCATGCTCTGGCTACCGCCTGCCGGGGAAGATTATGCTAATGCTCGCCAGAGGGAAGGGTGCAAGTTCGCTAAAGCTTCGCAAAGGTCGAAGCAGCGACCTTCAAGGAAACCGGGTGGGTGAAGAACCCAAGGACGACAGGTTTCGACTTATGCCTGGCCTTCTCGACAAACATTATCCGCGAGACTCGACATTGAACCCACCATGGGGGCCTCAATAATTACCTACACTATTTTGGGGGTTCCTTATTATAGATATAGTATTATGGGCCCCAAACCCTTGTTCTAGTCATTAAGGCCCTTATAGTATACCCTCAACCCCTCAACCCTAAACGGTTCGACAATCTGCACTGGCAGGCACCTTGCGGCTCGAGCGATGTGATGATCGTCGAGGGCCGAAGGCGTGGCGGTGCACAGAGGGCCCGCTGTGCATTAGCTCGTTGGGCCTCAAGAATGAGCTACACTATTTTGGGGGCTCCTCATTAACATAATTATAGTAGAATATCACCCAAAACCCATTCTAATTCTTAAGGCCTATTTTTTACCGTGTTAGTAGCTTGAAGTTTCGATCTGCAGCTTGCAGCTGTGAGCCGAGAAGTGGAATCCTCGCTGCCAGGTGTCAGCCAGATGTGGCAGAGAATCCTGGACGAACTGGGCTGAGCTTGTTTCAGATATCCTGGGTTTGCGTATCTTTGTTGCTTCTGAATTGGGCCAGGCTGTTCAGTAGATTAGATGCTTCGAGCAGACTCTGGAACTCAATACCAAGGCTCCCGCGACTTGATAGCGGCACTTAGCAGTGCGTAGCCCGACAGACCGTGAAGGTTGTACTTTTTTCCGACTGCATCAACTTGAAGTGCCGACCTCGGCTTCGATGTGATGCTCTCGAGCCCTTCCCTACACAACGGTTTAGTTGGTTGTTCAGGTTGAGGGTTAGGCTAGCAATTTAGGACATTGGGTTTAGGGTTTGCTATACCCAGCAATCGCAAGACGGCGAGCTCGAAGAACTGAGGCTGTGCTCATGACTGTTCCTTCGCGGGCATGCCCGGCATGCATTGGCATTGTAGGCGGGTTAGCTCCTGTGCATTCAGTTGGAGGGAGGAGGGTTGAGTGCGCAGGGCATAGTGGTCTCGAAGGATTTCGAAAGGGGCCGGGGGTTAGGATGCAGTGCTGTGCACCGTTGTAGTGCCGTGGTGATGATGAGGACAAGTGGTCTTGTGGACCATTGTCATTTCGGACCAAAATCGGTGGCACAGAGATCAGAACAGCTTTAGCTGCCATGAATGGATTAGAGGAAAAGGTTGATGACCTTGTCAACAGCCAAACTTTGATTAAGAAGGCAGAGGAGGACGAGGTCATCGAAGATGAGTTCAATATTCACTCGACAGTCGGCTTGGTCTCGGCTCTGCTTCTGTCCTGCCTCGCCTCAACGGTGAGCGATTCCAAAGACCTCAAAGACTTCGCAGAGGAGCGTGACCGCAGATGGGAGCTGCAAGACGATTCAGTGTCCATCTTCGACGTCTACCAGGCATTGATTTTCGTCAGCATGTCCTGTGGCTCGGCGTGTGCAGGCCTGCAGCTATGTCGTGTGTTGCTAACTCGTGTAGTATCGGATTCTGGCCGTGGCTTTGGCGAGCATCTCGAAATTTCACGGTGGCTAGTGTAGTTGCAGCCGACACACTGAGCGCCCACCATGACTGCAGCTGAGGCAACGTCCTCGCGATCATGACCTCCATTGCGCGTCTTATCGCTTTTCAACGCGTTGCAAAGTCCGACGCACCCGAGTTCCAGAGGATGATGGCCGCAGGGCGGGCGGGATGGTGTGCAGGCGCTCTGCCGGTTGTGGCCATGGCCGTAGGCGTCATATCCTACATTTTCGTAATGTTGATTCAGGGCTACCTGGTCATGAAGGTCAAGACTCTTCAGTTCTGTATCGCGACGATCACGGTCTGCTCCTTCTTCTGGGGAGCGCACGAAAGCTGGATTTTCATGGCGAAGCGAGCCGTGAACCATCCAGAGCTGGTCAACCTGAGCTGCACGAGCGAGTATGAAGTGCTGGAGTGTTGCGAGTCCGAATAGTATCTATATATGTATATATACATATATATATATACAAGCTTAAAATCCGAATACTGTTTATTCCTCTAGCTTCCTTACCATCTGTACACTCAAACTATTAAGGCCACGAGCCCGAGCAGTGCTAATCTTTGCCACTCCCTGCCTGCGAATCAAAAAGGACAACGCTGGGGGAAATAGCTCCGGTGTCGAAGACACTGTGGTCAGCCATTGAGCGGTTGTCACTTTGGAGTAATGCTGCATGCCAGTAGTACTGCCCGCGACCTCAAGGAGAGTGCGGACCGGGTGTACTTAAAGGATCATGGGACTTAGTAACTAGGGTTATAATTAGGTTAACTATACTTATAACCCCAATTAGGGTACTGATAACCTAACTTACTAAGTCCCATGATCCTCCAAGTATGACAGATACATGAGGCTAGAGAACGGCTTGAGGCCCGGGCAAGTTCCGAAACTGGCGGCGAACGGTAGCCGGTAGTTGCTGGACGGCCTGAGCTGAAAAGGCTTCTATTTTTATGCTCAGGTCCTTCGCTCAAGGTCCCCAGCTCAAATGTAGGCCGAGGACCGAGGCGGTAAAGCTCCAGGCTTACGGTTTACACCACCGTTCTTAGCACACCGGCGTTTTTGACAAGCTGGCAAAAAATGCACCCGCAGAGACGGAGGGCATCACAGGCTCGAGGACCCTCCAGGCAACCTCAGGGGCTATTCTGTCTGATGCCGTGGGATTTCTGTTCAGGGCTTGTATGAATCGGGAGCCTTATGTGAAGGTTCTGCTGAGGTTGAGGGATGATCGATAAAGGGTTTCAGGATGTCGTGAGGTGGATTTTACATGAATCGTCCGTGCTCTTAAAGGAGCGCACAAGCATCGTGCTGCTGTCTTGTCAGAGGAAGTTGGGCTGAACACCCAAACCGGAGGATTGATGAGGTTTCTACCGGTCGCTACGAGCCGTTGAAGATCCAGGGCAAGTGGGGCTAGGTCTTTGCCCATGGCACAGGATGTGCGCTTCAACGTATAACTTAGTGGCTGGTTTTCAAGTACTTTTGTGCGGTTGTAATCACACTCTCAATATCCAACTAGAAAGCTTCAGGGGATGATCGAGCAGCACCTCGTGCTTGGTTCGGGGCTGGAAGCAAAAACGATGATAATAGTAGTAATTGTAAATAGTAGATGTGGCTACGGTTGTGTGTGCAAGGTGAAGTCCAGTAGGTTTTAATCTTGGGCAGCCGAGTGCCACGCTAACTGGCCGCCCGGCGGAGTGATTGGCCATACCGATGTCTGAAAAGGCCGGGCTTAACAGGGTTTTTGTGCCCTTTGCACCCTTTGTTGAAGGTTTAGGGTTTAGGGTTTAAATTGCTGCCGAATGGTCTGAAGATGAAGCTTGACACACGGGTGTGTTTACATGCCTTGGCATGTTGATGCCAACTCAGCTTCGCAGTAGACTGTCCCAAGGGACTGACACTACCGAACAGTGTTGTGCCTCCTTCAACAAGTTACAATACAATACAGTACCACAGTATGCTTTGCTGTGCTGAGTATGCCATGCTATGCTATCCCATACCATTCTAATCTGATACTATACTTTTGTTATACTAAACCCTAAACCCTAAACCCTAAACCCTAAACCCTAAACCATAAACCCTAAACCCTAAACCCTAAACCCTAAACCCTAAACCCTAAACCCCTAAACCCTAAACCCTAAACCCTAAACCCTAAACTTTTGTTATACTATACTGTGCCAGAGTTTCAGTTTTACCGAAACTCCGCGCTTTGCGTGCCAGGCAGAGCGGCCGGAGAGTTCCACAGGAATCAAAGGAATTCCGCCCGACGGCTACGAGGATGGCGTGGCTCGTCTCATGACTTGACAGTGCTGCTGCTAGTAGCAGCCGCAGCCGTAGCCGTCGTAGCAGTAGTAGTAGTAGTAGTAGTAGTACTACTACTACTGCTAGTATTAGTACTAGAACTACTGGATCTACTAGAACTACTAGAACCACTAGAAATACTAGTGCTAGTTCGAGTGCTAGTGCGTGTACTAGCATTAGTACTAGCACTAGTACTAGTACTAGCACTTGTAGCATTAGTGTTACTAGTAGTACTAGCAGTACTTGTAGTACTGGTAGTACTAGTAGTTCTAGTAGTTCTAGTAGGTCTAGTCGTTCTAGTAGTTCTAGAAGTTTTAGTCGTTCTAGTAGTTCAAGTACTAGTGGTACTAGTAGTACGAGTAGTACTTGCAGTACTAGTAGTACTAGTAGGACTGCTACTTATTACTGCTACCCCTAGTTGCGAGCACTACGTGTACAAGAATGACAAGAAGTGCCGCTGTTTTGGCGTCGTAGTTGTTGTTTTACCGTGTCCCGGATGCAACAAGCTCTTGCACTCAGGTCTTGACGACATATACTCAGTTCTGCCACGAGGAGTACCGCCGAGAAGTGGATTGCTCCGGAGCCATCAAAGTGTATATCGACATAGCTGCACATGACCTGAAAGCGGTGGATGATCATCATGAAGAGCTCATTGGTCAGCATTGAGCGATGCCATGTGATTGGCAGCAAAAACTAGTAGTGAGAACCACCTGTAATACGGAGACAAGGAAAAAATGGTAGCGCCGGCAGTAGCACCGGCACTAGCATTAGCATTGGTGCTTGCACTCAGGCTCACGAACATTTGAAGCAGCAGTAGCAGTAGCACTAGCAGGAGGAGTAGCCGTCGTCGCCGTTGTCGTCGTCCGTGGTATTCGTAGTGGTAGTTCTTATTCGTAGTAGTAGCCGTCGTGGTAGTCGCAGTGGTGGTGATGGTGGTGGTAGTCGTAGTATTGGTAGTACTGGTAGTGGTGGTGGTCGTAGTGGTAGTATTGGCGGTAGTCGCAGCAGTAGTGGTGGTGGTGGTGGTGGTGGTGGTAGCGGTAGTGTTAGGAGTAGCTAACGGTAGTGGCAGTCTTAGCGGCAGCGTTAGTGTAGGTGAATATCAAGTAGCAGGTGGCATGTAGTAGTTTTTTGTCGGAAAGATGCGGACATCAGCATCATGTGTAGCAGCATAGGAAGCATTATGATCCTTGCCGTTACGCTGTTGGTGGGTCGAGCGATGGTGGTGCCTCCGAGAGTGGGAGTGCCATCATGGCTGCTGTAGAGACGCGGTTAGTAGAACTATATATAACCCCAGTACTTCATAGTCCTCGCCACGGTGGCACCGTTGAAGCAACATGAAGCGACAGTCGTGCATTCGATAACGGCACCGTCGATGCTAGACTAGTGCCGACAGACGGCCTCGTTCTTGAGCAGTGCAGGTGCATGTTTGTTCTACATGCGACTTCTTGTCAAATCTCAGGTTTCACATGGTGTTCGTGCTGAAGCTTTCTTGGCTGGACCCCGACCTGAAAAACTATAAGTCGCGCGTAGCTGTTCGAGACATAGACGGCGAATCGAAGATTCATCTGCGAAAGCTCGACGTCGTCATCACGAAGATGTATGCGAACGGCGACATAGAGTACATCGACATGTCCGATGACCATCACATTGTCAAGAATCTCCGCAAGAAAGAGTATGTCACCATTCAAGAGCCCGACTGGAGCAAGTACTTCTTCCCCTCATATTCGATCTTGAACCTGCAACATGGAACGGACAACCAGGTTGTTTTCCGAAAGTTGCTGTGGTCTGACGAGAATGGTGGATTTGCAACGTATTCGATTAAGTACGATGCGACTTTGAAAGAAAGCCTGGACCTGCGCAGGTTTCCGCTGGACCGCCAGTTGTGCAGGACAGTTCATCTGTGTCTGGGGTTGTCTTGGTTATAAGGTCTTTATGGCTGTTATGCTGCCTGCTGCTCTCGGTGTATGCTTTTATCACGCTAATCTCACGAATCTGAAAGGCTTTGCTCTTGTTTGTATGGAGGTACGCGAGAACACTAGCAGCATCTGCCAGCCTTTTGGAGTTGCCTCCACAGGAGACAACTTGATCTTGTACCTTTCGAACTGTAAGCTACTGGCACAGTTCATGCGGACATCAGCTAGGCAAGCTTGGTTTATTTTGCAAAAATAGCATATTATATGTAATACATATAATAATACATCTAAACAAAATTTCTAATATGGTAGAAAATGAAGAATCTCGGGACTCTGCGTGCGCAGGATAAGGCTGACTGCGGAACGAACCATTGACGAATTTCAGCAGCTTGGTCTCAGAATACAGTTTAGGGTTTAGTAGTAGTAGTAGTAGTAGTAGTAGTAGTCGTAGTAGTAGTAGTAGTAGTAGTAGTAGTAGTAGTAGTAGTAGTAGTAGTAGTAGTATCAGTAGTAGTAGTAGTATCAGTAGTAGTAGTCGTGGTGGTGGTGGTAGTAGTAGTAGTAGTAGTAGTAGTCGTGGTGGTAGTAGTAGTAGTAGTAGTCGTGGTGGTGGTGGTGGTGGTGGTAGTAGTAGTAGTCGTGGTGGTAGTAGTAGTAGTAGTCGTGGTGGTGGTGGTAGTAGTAGTCGTGGTGGTAGTAGTAGTAGTAGTCATGGTGGTACTAGCTTGGTGGTAGAGTGTAGTAGGAGGAGGAGGAGGACGAGGAGGAGGAGGCGAGCGGCGAGCCTTGCATCCCAGGTTCGTTGTGGTGAAGGGCAACAAGAAAGGTATTGGACAAATCTGTGCCATGTGGCACCTGGACGACTCGTCAAGGTCCACGGTCTATGTTCGTCATTGCGACAGGTGGGGACTTCCAGGATTTAGAGCGGAAGCTCCGTTAATAAAGGGGCCCGAATAATTACCTATAGTATTTTTTGGGATGTTTTTTAGTTAGAGTCTGTGGGCCCAAAACCCTATTCTAATTATTCGGGCCCCCTACATTAATTTCGTTCGAAAGGTTTGGTTCGGCTTCCGTCTAACACGAGGTATCTCGGTGCCGAGCGAGGTCCGAGATACTGCAGTTTACTCCAATCGTTGCCAGCAATCATCAGGTCGCCTGTGGTCCCAGTAGCTTGGAATAGCCAGACAGCAAATCCTCAACTCTGACCTGGTGTAGGTATCTGCCATTTGCAAGCCAGCGCTCTTGCGTGAACGCAGTGTTCCACCTTGAGCGGAAAGGCCAGGGCGTTGACTTCAGCAAGCCTCTTCAGGCAGTGTCAGGGTAGGGCCATGACATGGACTCGTCGTGAGAGACACGGAGTGGCTTGTGTACTGCCGTTGCCTGCAGAGGTGAGTATTACTTTCGTGGTAAGCTGCTCATGGTCTTTCTGGTGAACATCCTCAGCCTGTGCGTCTTCGCGATTTCACTGGAGGATGTCAGCGGACGATTGAGGCATCTGAGCAGGTGTTTTCTTGCAGTCCTGGCGTACCGCTACGTCATCGATGGAACATTGCCCCGGAAAGAATACCTCACAGGTGCTGACGCATACATTGTATTTGCTTGCAGCTTTCAAGCCCTCCTTGTCATTGAGACGGTCGTCTTTCACAAGTTTCTCATCAACTTTCTGGAAAACCCTATCTTGGTTGACAGGTATATTGGCCTGTCTCTTCTGCTGGCATGGTGCGGTGTGAACAGTTTGTTGCGTTGGCTGTGGCAACATGACACCGGCAGGAACAACTGGGAAATCTGGGAAGCGATCTACAAGAAAGGTCGCGAACCATATGCGCCGATCAATCGGTGTTCAGACTGTGGGGAGATGTGGCTGAGCAAGCAATGCGAGCACTCGAGCAAAAGAAAGCAGTGCATCAACTGGCCGGATTGCTTTGGTGAGAACGAAAGCATCGCGACTATCTACAAAACTCCTTTCCACCCCATTCCAGCTATCGTGGAGCCGCAAGCCTTCCCGAGACCACCGCCTTCACTGAAGGAGCTCCCAGAAACCCGGGAACGTGCCTGACATGCAGAATTCGTGGGAAATATGGCCTGATCGGGCCATGTGGCAGACGCGGCGGGCTGACTGCTCGCACCGAAGGGATTGAAAATGGGGATGCACTGCCGCCCAGCGGCACCAGCCTTTTCTCAGATCAGCAGGCCTTTGCTTTTGACGCGGGCAGATCGCAAATTCTAGCGATTCCCGCGGCTCGTGGTGGTTTCTTTTGTTTCCCACAGTGCTCTGAAAAAACCAACCCGATGCAGCAACTTACCCATGCACGAGTTTGCAGCGATAAAGCTCCTAAGCCTGGACTTTGTTTAAGGTTTTATCAGGCTTTGCAAGGCTTTGTTTTAGGATCATAGAATCGCAGGACCTAGAAAGTAGGGCTAGAAGTTGGGTGACTGCAGTAACTAGAACTCCAACTACTTACGACCCAGTGTAAGTTATGCAGAACCCGGCAGTACGGCCAAGAGTTCTGGTATCAGGGATGGGTTATGGGGTTGAAAGCTGTGCATACGGCTCTGCTGATAGAGCTTCACGAGCTCTCACTGGAAAGGATCAGTTGGTGCTACATTGATTGCGGCTTTGCTGCAAGCACATAGGAATTGTAGGAATAAGGACAGCATTGGGAGATCTCCAGTTCTTGCCAGCACGTCCTTCCTTGTCGTGTAGTCGGCATTGCCTCGTAGCCACTTCTAAGCTGTACAGGCACCTCACCAACAGCCCCGGTGCGATGCAGTTTTTGGATGGCTCTGTTAAGTCGCACAACACACAGACACACCCCTGCACACACCTACATATGTATAGATATATATATATATATACACACATTACACATGTATGTGTATATGAGCTTATGATGTATATAGATACACGTGCATATACATACATAAACAGAAGCAGGCTTTTCACGACTGCATATGCGCACATCGGTCCCCGTCCACTGGTCTTTAGACTATGGAGCGCTTTAATTAGGACGCCGTAAACCTGTACGCAGAAGTCACGGCATCGCCAGTCGCCATGCCGGGGTCGGACGAGAAGGCTGAAGAAAATGGCCACACCCTGATGAAGAAGGCAGAAGAGGACGAGGTCATCGAGGACGAGTTCAATATTCACTCAACAGTCGGCCTGGTCTCTGCACTGCTGCTGTCCTGCCTCGCATCGACGGTGAGCGATTCCAAGGATCTCAAAGACTTCGCAGAGGAGCGCGACCGCAGATGGGAGTTGCAAGACGAGGGAGTCTCCATCTTTGACGTCTACCAGGCCTTGATTTTCGTCTGCATGTCGTGCAACTCGGTGATAGCAGCAGTCAACTTTGTAACTGCATCCGTCACATCCGACCAAGTCAGCCTGTGTATGTTTGTTAAGAGTCGCATCCGAGGCAATGTGCTTGCCATCATGACGGCGATTGCACGCCTTATTGCTTTTCAGCGAGTTGCAAAGTCTGATGCCCCGGAGTTTCAGAGGATAATGGCAGCAGGACGGGTGGGATGGTGCACAGGTGCGCTGCCAGTTGTGGCAATGGCAGCTGGTGTTATCTCTTACATTCTGGTCATGCTGGTTCAGGGATACCTGGTGATGCACATGAAGACCTTCTGGTTCTGTGTGGCGACCATAACTGTCTGCATCATTCTCTGGGCGAGCCACGAAGTATGGATCATCCTTGCGAAACGAGCTGTGAATCACCCTGAACTCCTCAAGCTTAGCTGTGCTGACGCACCTCAGGATAGCGAGTATGAAGAGCTCGAGAGCTCCTAGCCCAGAGCTGCTTTTGATGCAAGGCTGCCCGCTTTTTGATTGTCTGCAGCCCGTGTGTGAACGACCAGTTTTGAAGAAGTACCCGCGATGCCGAAGACACTGCGGGCCAGTTTGGTCAGTTGCCGACCATGCTTGGTTCTCATTTATTCTCCCCTCGGTTCTTCAAGCTGAGGGTCCATAGCAGTGGTAGATAGGGTGCCACAGAAAAAATCTGCTGCGAAATCGGCGGGTCCTGTGGTGTGCCCTCCTAGTCCAGAACCCTTATTCGAAGTCCGAACCATAAACCCTTCAAAGCACACGGCCTAGGCCCCTTAGTCCCAAGTTTTGACACCACAACGTCGTGTTTTCACTCACCCAAGCCCCCGCCCGCAAACCTCACTCTCGGTACGGCTTTTGGATCCGCAGCTCTAGACCGTCCCGGAATCCTGGCCGAAGGTTTCTAAACCAGGCACGCATGCAAGCCCGCAGCGGTAAACTCCGAAGCCAAATCCCTGAAATCTACCTTGAGATTGAAGCAATTCTCAAGCAGAGCACAAGCTCTAAGATGCGATGTTAAGTTTTCGACAACGGCCACATGTCCTTTACGGCTTTTGATTTGTTTCTGCAGAGTCTAAACCCAAAACCCAAAACTCTAAGCCCCGCATCCATGCTCGTAGTTCTCTTTGCCCAGGATCCCTTGGCAGAGGTCTGAACGCTCATCTCTTGCCCTTGACTCCAGCACCAATCCTCTAGTACCAGTGCAAAAGCTTCCATTACTAATGCACGAAAACCTACTGCTATTGCCAATGCTCCTACTTTATTACTATTCCTACTGCCTCTGCTTTGACCAGGTGCGGGATCGGAGAAGAGGACTGGCATGTCGCGCGTGAAGGCATGCTGCGAGCTTGACCTCCTCCCTGCTTGTCTCTATTGTGCCCTGGGTGCCGGAGACTCTAAAGCCATGATGTTGAAAGTGTTGCTGCAGAATCCAACACTTGCCTCTTTTATGCTCCTGCTCTTCCCCCACCTGCCTATCACTAGTATGCAGCACACGACCCACAGAGTGCATTCCCGAAGCTCCACGTCCCGACTTTACGAAATGTCTCATTGCCAAGCTTTCCCTAAACCCTAGAAGCCCTTAGCCTGAAGCCCAGGGTGCTGAAACGACACCTTTCCCACCCTTCAAGAACTAGTCTTTTGGTCTTAGCCTGGCTTGTGACCGAGACCCTCGGCTCTCCTTTGGCTGGCGGATATCCTTATTTGGGTCCCTATTATAATACGGCACCTATTATTCAGGGTACCCAAAAAGGGACCTTAATTTTGACAACTATGGGCTCTGAGGTTTGGGGGCTCAGAGTTTAAAGTTCACAGTTTCGCCGGATGCAGGAGGCTCCTTGATCCGCGAAGGATGCATTCGGGTTGAGAGTGTGTTGGTGTTGGAGTTCTGGCAGGCTTGCACACCGTGTCAGCTAAAAACTGAAACGTTGGATTATCCATACCTTCTGCACCATCTGCCCGAGCGCAAGCACTGCGTTCCAAGGCAGCTAACAGCTAGCCCTGAAGCCAGAATCTTCGAGCAGCCGACCTGTAATGATGGATCAGACAGGGCTTTGTGTTGTGGGTTTTGGGGTCCAAGCAAGGAGCTATACTCCCAGAGATTTTTCGGACGTTTGTGGCCCTCCGGCAGGAAAACGCATCCGACCGATTGCGCCCTGGAATTGGCAGCAGCAATGCCGTAAGGTGGGAAGCTGGTGCATTTGCTCCTTGCCGTGCATCTTTTCCTGACCTTGCATATTGTCAGGACTTGCAAATTCCACCCGGCTGCTTGAACATCTGACTCTGTCACTTGTCAAGGAGAGTTTCGTTGCGTGGCACCTTTCAATGTCGGAATGCAGGTATTTTCTTTGGTGTCACATCATGTTTAATTCTCTTTTAATTGCTGAGCCATTAGTTGTTAATTAAAATTGCTGCATTGCTTGCAGATGGGAGTTGCAAGACGATTCAGTGTCCATCTTCGACGTTTACCAGGGCTGGATCTTTGTCAGCATGTCCTGTGGCTCGGCTTGTGCAGTCATGCAGCTGTTTCATGTGTTGCTGACTAGTGTCTCCGACGGTCGCGACGGCTTTGGTAAGCATCTCGAGACTGTAGTGTGTAGTTGCAGACGACACAGTCGGGGCCTACCATGACTGCAGCTGAGGCAACGTCCTCGCCATCATGACCTCCATTGCGCGCCTTATCGCTTTTCAACGCGTTGCAAAGGCCGACGCACCCGAGTTCCAGCGGATGATGGCCACAGGGCGGGCGGGATGGTGTGCAGGCGCTCTGCCGGTTGTGGCCATGGCCGCACATTTTCGTAATGTTGATTCAGGGCGACCTGGTCATGAAGGTCAAGACTCTTCAGTTCTGTATCGCGACGATCACTGTCTGCTCCTTCTTCTGGGGAGCGCACGAAGGCTGGATTTTCATGGCGAAGCGAGCCGTGAACCATCCCGAGCTGGTCAACCTGAGCTGCACGAGCGAGTATGAAGTGCTGGAGTGTTGTGAATCCGAGTAGTATAGGAGCGTTAAAATTACGACTGCTAATCCTGAGGGTTCCTCATTATAGTTACTTGGAGGATCATGGGACTTAGTAAGTAAGGTTATAAGTACCTTAATTGGGGTTATATGTATAGCTAGCTTAATTATAAGCCGAGTTACTAAGTTCCATGATCCTTTAAGTATACTCTCATTATTAGGGCCTCGAATCTGCATAGTGCAGCAAGATGCCTGCCTGCTAAACCGGGAAGAAATGGCTACGGCGTCGAAGACACTGTGGCCAGCCATACCTCGAGCCATCTTGAATGCCAGTGGTATGACGCCCTGGACCTCACTCAGAGTGCGATTCAGGTGTTTGACAGATACATTGACATGAGTGTAGAGTATCTTCGCGCATACATTTGTGACATGAGGTCCGGGCAAGAATCCGGCATTGGTTGATAGGTATCTTGGCTTGGGTGTGAATGGTTCGTTGGTGCCCTGACAGTGACACTGGAAGAGAAATAACTTGGGCAGTCCATCTATCAGAAAGCTCGTGAGCATACGTGAGCATACGTGAGCATACGCGTAGATGTGCCTCAGACTGTGGAGCGCAGCGGCTGAACAAGCAATGCGACCACAAGAGTCACACCAAGCACTGCTTCAACTGGCCAGCTACCCTAAACCCTAAACCGAATACAAGACCGTTTACAAGGTGCGGGCGGAAAAACTATATTGCTTTCGTGAAGCCGGAGCCCGGAGCTCATGCGGATCTCTAAAGTGCCATGTTAGTATTGGTACTAGTATTAATTCTAATGCTACGCAGCCCGCCTCGGCCGGCGGCTGCAGTAGGGCCAGCAGGGGCGCAGAGCAGGGGCCAAACTGCGAAGGGCCTCTTAAAGCAGGTGTAATTTAGTTGCAGGGGCAGGGCTGCTCGGAGAAGTGTGGCAAGTGTAGAGCAAACACATGCAGCAAAACCCAAGTGCGCAGAAGGGTTGCAGGAATGAGATACAGAAGCAACGCCAGTGCTTGGTCCTGGTGATGCATGATAAGTCGACGAGTCGTGTGGTCTGGCCGACGAGGTTGAGGAGGGGTCGGGGGGGGGGGGTGCCGGGAGGCGAGGGGCAACAAAACAGCAAAACGACAAAGCTTCAACGAGCAAACGAAACATAAGAAGAAAAGACAGTGGAGCCGGGGGCAGGCCGAAAGAGAAGAAAAGGTGAAAGACAACGAGCAGGCAGAAGACAAAAAACAAGGGGAAGCCAGAGGAGGAAGGGGGGGCCGGAGGAGGAAGGGTGGGGGCGGGGGGGGGGGAAGAAAACAAGCCAAAAAGAAGTGCACGAAAAAGTCGCCATGTAAAAAACACGCGAGGGCAGGACAAGACGGAAGGGTAGGAAAAGGGGCCGGGGGAAGGCCCGGGGGGAGGGGGGCCGGGAAGGGAGGAAGGGTCGGGGGGGGGAAGCTTCAACGAGGAAGCAAGAGAGCCAAAAGACACGAACGAAACATAAGAAGAAAAGGCAGTGGAGCCGGCCCGGAGGGGGCAGGCCGAAAAAGCCAAAGCGAGGGCAGGACAACACGGAAGGGTGGACTGGCCGGCCGGAGGAGGAAGGCGGGGCCAGCACGAGGGCGAGGGGGGGAAAGGAAGGAAAACAAGCCAAAGAAGTGCAGACAAGACGGAAGGGTGGGAAAAGGGGCCGGGGGGGCGGGGAGGGAGGAGGGCTGAGGGGGCGGGGGCGAGAGGCAACAAAAAAGCGAAACGAGAGCTTCAACGAGGAAGCAGGAAAGAAGCACGCAAACGAAACATAAGAAGAAAAGACAGTGGAGCCGGGGGCAGGCCGAAAGAGAAGAAAAGGTGAAAGAAAACGACCAGGCAATCGAAAAAACACGCGAGTGCAGGACAAGACGGAGGGGTGGGGAAACAAAAAAGGAAAACGAGCGAGGAGGGCAGAGGGGAGGACGGGCCGGAGGGGGAGAACAGAGAGGGAGGGGGGAGGGGGGGGGGTAGGGGAGGGGCGGGAGTGGGGGGGGGGGAGGAAGGAGGGGCCCGGGAGGGGGGGGGCAGGAGAGGGGGAGGCAAATTCGGCAGCAAAAAAGGACGGAAGCCGGGCAAGGGGGTCGAAAACAGTCGCTAAAAGCGGGTGGAAGTTTGCATTTGGGTTGCAGGGGGAAGGACTACGTAGAGGGTTGGTTAGTATTAACCATCAAGACGGCAGAGGCCTTTGGCCTCGGCGGATATTGGTATGATAGTATTCGTACTAGCAGTCGTATTCGTGCTGGTACTAGTATCAGTACTAGCATAAGTAGTAGTACTAGTGTCCACTTTTGTCCGCAATTTGAGAGCTCAAGCTGGCTGCAATCTGTGAGCCTGGTCTTTCCTGCAGGCTGGCAGCACAGCCCCTGGGTTTATTCAGGGGTTTGCGAGGTTGAGGGTCCTAGAATCACCGGACCTTTTATTTAGGGTCGACAGGTAGCGACAGTTAGAACTACTTGCAGCCCTAGGTCAGTTGGGTAGAGCCCTTCATACCTTTTTCCTTGAAGTAAGCACTTCTTATTCTCCAAGAGTTCTGGTACAACATCATGGATGGGCTTTGGGGCTTAGCCTGTTAGCGACAGCTGGCTCTGCTGATAAGGCTTCATCTCTGTTAAGCGATAGCTTTCGTGGGGCCTGAAAAAGGCCCTGGTGATCAGGTGATCTATGCTTCAACATTGGGGGCTTGTTGGAAGGTGTGCCTAAAACAGAATTAGACTTTCTAGGCTTTGCGCCAGATCTTAAGAGAAACTCTCGTCTCACTCATCATGCCTTGGCTCAGGGTTTCGGAGTCAGATGAAGGCCGAAGAGCTAGCTTGGCTTGTGCTTCCCTAACTATTCAGATAGATGTCCGCCTTGTTGGATCTTCGGATGTCCCGGCAGGTCATCATTCAACAAGCTGCAGTGAAGCAGCGTAGTTTTGGAGCTGCACTGTTATAGGTCTTCGGTGAATCTGTAAAGAGCGGATGCTATGACCGCTTGACCTACCCAAATCGCAAAACCCAAATCCCTAAGCCCTAAACGCCGGACCTGGGGTAGGCCATGCTCGTGGATTCGGCACAGCACGATGGGGTCCAGGCGCGAGCTCGCATTGCAAGGGATAAGTTGCTTTGGCTGATCTCCACTTGTTGCCGAGGGTTTTATCCAAATTGAGCTGCCCTTGTGTGGAACGAAAGCTTTTGCTGGCCAGCATGTCCTTGATCGTGGGCGGCGCCAGCCGGTATTGTCTCGGAGCCCGCGACTCGCCCACGTGTAGGCACAGGCACCTCATCAACAGCTCCAGTGCTGAAGCGCAGAAATTTTGATGGCTCTGTTAGATCATACTCGTCGGCCGGCTATGTGGTCAGTTATCCAACCATGATGGCCGCCTAATGGCACATGTATATATGTATATATATATATATATATATATATATATATATTATATAGATACATCTATATATATATGTATATATATATGTATATATATATATATATGCATATACACACATGTAAACATGTATGTACGTATAAATACATTTATGTACTTGCTGTTCATTTGTGTGTATATGCGTATGCACATGTATATACATATGGATATGGACATATTTGTCCCTCGGAGAAGTCAAGACATCGCTTGTCGCCATGCCGGGGTCGGAAGCGAAAGTTGAAGAAAACGGCCACACCCTGATGAAGAAGGCAGAAGAGGACGAGGTCATCGAGGACGAGTTCAATATTCACTCAACAGTCGGCCTGGTCTCTGCACTGCTGCTGTCTTGCCTCGCATCGATGGTGAGCGATTCCAAGGATCTCAAAGACTTCGCAGAGGAGCGCGACCGCAGATGGGAGTTGCAAGACGAGGGAGTCTCCATCTTTGACGTCTACCAGGCCTTGATTTTCGTCTGCATGTCGTGCAACTCGGTGATAGCAGCAGTCAACTTTGTAGCGACATCCGTCACATCCGACCAAGTCAGCCTGTGTATGTTTGTTAAGAGTCGCATCCGAGGCAATGTGCTTGCCATCATGACGGCGATTGCACGCCTTATTGCTTTTCAGCGAGTTGCAAAGTCTGATGCCCCGGAGTTTCAGAGGATAATGGCAGCAGGACGGGTGGGATGGTGCACAGGTGCGCTGCCAGTTGTGGCAATGGCAGCTGGTGTTATCTCTTACATTCTGGTCATGCTGGTTCAGGGATACCTGGTGATGCACATGAAGACCTTCTGGTTCTGTGTGGCGACCATAACTGTCTGCATCATTCTCTGGGCGAGCCACGAAGTATGGATCATCCTTGCGAAACGAGCTGTGAATCACCCTGAACTCCTCAAGCTTAGCTGTGCTGACGCACCTCAGGATAGCGAGTATGAAGAGCTCGAGAGCTCCTAGCCCAGAGCTGCTTTTGATGCAAGGCTGCCCGCTTTTTGATTGTCTGCAGCCCGTGTGTGAACGACCAGTTTTGAAGAAGTACCCGCGATGCCGAAGACACTGCGGGCCAGTTTGGTCAGTTGCCGACCATGCTTGGTTCTCATTTATTCTCCCCTCGGTTCTTCAAGCTGAGGGTCCATAGCAGTGGTAGATAGGGTGCCACAGAAAAAATCTGCTGCGAAATCGGCGGGTCCTGTGGTGTGCCCTCCTAGTCCAGAACCCTTATTCGAAGTCCGAACCATAAACCCTTCAAAGCACACGGCCTAGGCCCCTTAGTCCCAAGTTTTGACACCACAACGTCGTGTTTTCACTCACCCAAGCCCCGGCCCGCAAACCTCACTCTCGGTACGGCTTTTGGATCCGCAGCTCTAGACCGTCCCGGAATCCTGGCCGAACGTTTCTAAACCAGGCACGCATGCAAGCCCGCAGCGGTAAACTCCGAAGCCAAATCCCTGAAATCTACCTTGAGATTGAAGCAATTCTCAAGCAGAGCACAAGCTCTAAGATGCGATGTTAAGTTTTCGACAACGGCCACATGTCCTTTACGGCTTTTGATTTGTTTCTGCAGAGTCTAAACCCAAAACCCAAAACTCTAAGCCCCGCATCCATGCTCGTAGTTCTCTTTGCCCAGGATCCCTTGGCAGAGGTCTGAACGCTCATCTCTTGCCCTTGACTCCAGCACCAATCCTCTAGTACCAGTGCAAAAGCTTCCATTACTAATGCACGAAAACCTACTGCTATTGCCAATGCTCCTACTTTATTACTATTCCTACTGCCTCTGCTTTGACCAGGTGCGGGATCGGAGAAGAGGACTGGCATGTCGCGCGTGAAGGCATGCTGCGAGCTTGACCTCCTCCCTGCTTGTCTCTATTGTGCCCTGGGTGCCGGAGACTCTAAAGCCATGATGTTGAAAGTGTTGCTGCAGAATCCAGCACTTGCCTCTTCTATGCTCCTGCTCTTCCCCCACCTGCCTATCACTAGTATGCAGCACACGACCCACAGAGTGCATTCCCGAAGCTCCACGTCCCGACTTTACGAAATGTCTCATTGCCAAGCTTTCCCTAAACCCTAGAAGCCCTTAGCCTGAAGCCCAGGGTGCTGAAACGACACCTTTCCCACCCTTCAAGAACTAGTCTTTTGGTCTTAGCCTGGCTTGTGACCGAGACCCTCGGCTCTCCTTTGGCTGGCGGATATCCTTATTTGGGTCCCTATTATAATACGGCACCTATTATTCAAGGTACCCAAAAGGGGACCTTAATTTTGACAACTATGGGCTCTGAGGTTTGGGGGCTCAGAGTTTAAAGTTCACAGTTTCGCCGGATGCAGGAGGCTCCTTGATCCGCGAAGGATGCATTCGGGTTGAGAGTGTGTCGGTGTTGGAGTTCTGGCAGGCTTGCACACCGTGTCAGCTAAAAACTGAAACGGTGGATTATCCATACCTTCTGCACCATCTGCCCGAGCGCAAGCACTGCGTTCCAAGGCAGCTAACAGCTAGCCCTGAAGCCAGAATCTTCGAGCAGCCGACCTGTAATGATGGATCAGACAGGGCTTTGTGTTGTGGGTTTTGGGGTCCAAGCAAGGAGCTATACTCCCAGAGATTTTTCGGACGTTTGTGGCCCTCCGGCAGGAAAACGCATCCGACCGATTGCGCCCTGGAATTGGCAGCAGCAATGCCGTAAGGTGGGAAGCTGGTGCATTTGCTCCTTGCCGTGCATCTTTTCCTGACCTTGCATATTGTCAGGACTTGCAAATTCCACCCGGCTGCTTGAACATCTGACTCTGTCACTTGTCAAGGAGAGTTTCGTTGCGTGGCACCTTTCAATGTCGGAATGCAGGTATTTTCTTTGGTGTCACATCATGTTTAATTCTCTTTTAATTGCTGAGCCATTAGTTGTTAATTAAATTGCTGCATTGCTTGCAGATGGGAGTTGCAAGACGATTCAGTGTCCATCTTCGACGTTTACCAGGGCTGGATCTTTGTCAGCATGTCCTGTGGCTCGGCTTGTGCAGTCATGCAGCTGTTTCATGTGTTGCTGACTAGTGTCTCCGACGGTCGCGACGGCTTTGGTAAGCATCTCGAGACTGTAGTGTGTAGTTGCAGACGACACAGTCGGGGCCTACCATGACTGCAGCTGAGGCAACGTCCTCGCCATCATGACCTCCATTGCGCGCCTTATCGCTTTTCAACGCGTTGCAAAGGCCGACGCACCCGAGTTCCAGCGGATGATGGCCACAGGGCGGGCGGGATGGTGTGCAGGCGCTCTGCCGGTTGTGGCCATGGCCGCACATTTTCGTAATGTTGATTCAGGGCTACCTGGTCATGAAGGTCAAGACTCTTCAGTTCTGTATCGCGACGATCACTGTCTGCTCCTTCTTCTGGGGAGCGCACGAAGGCTGGATTTTCATGGCGAAGCGAGCCGTGAACCATCCCGAGCTGGTCAACCTGAGCTGCACGAGCGAGTATGAAGTGCTGGAGTGTTGTGAATCCGAGTAGTATAGGAGCGTTAAAATTACGACTGCTAATCCTGAGGGTTCCTCATTATAGTTACTTGGAGGATCATGGGACTTAGTAAGTAAGGTTATAAGTAGTTATAAGTACCTTAATTGGGGTTATATGTATAGCTAGCTTAATTTTAAGCCGAGTTACTAAGTTCCATGATCCTTTAAGTATACTCTCATTATTAGGGCCTCGAATCTGCATAGTGCAGCAAGATGCCTGCCTGCTAAACCGGGAAGAAATGGCTACGGCGTCGAAGACACTGTGGCCAGCCATACCTCGAGCCATCTTGAATGCCAGTGGTATGACGCCCTGGACCTCACTCAGAGTGCGATTCAGGTGTTTGACAGATACATTGACATGAGTGTAGAGTATCTTCGCGCATACATTTGTGACATGAGGTCCGGGCAAGAATCCGGCATTGGTTGATAGGTATCTTGGCTTGGGTGTGAATGGTTCGTTGGTGCCCTGACAGTGACACTGGAAGAGAAATAACTTGGGCAGTCCATCTATCAGAAAGCTCGTGAGCATACGTGAGCATACGTGAGCATACGCGTAGATGTGCCTCAGACTGTGGAGCGCAGCGGCTGAACAAGCAATGCGACCACAAGAGTCACACCAAGCACTGCTTCAACTGGCCAGCTACCCTAAACCCTAAACCGAATACAAGACCGTTTACAAGGTGCGGGCGGAAAAACTATATTGCTTTCGTGAAGCCGGAGCCCGGAGCTCATGCGGATCTCTAAAGTGCCATGTTAGTATTGGTACTAGTATTAATTCTAATGCTACGCAGCCCGCCTCGGCCGGCGGCTGCAGTAGGGCCAGCAGGGGCGCAGAGCAGGGGCCAAACTGCGAAGGGCCTCTTAAAGCAGGTGTAATTTAGTTGCAGGGGCAGGGCTGCTCGGAGAAGTGTGGCAAGTGTAGAGCAAACACATGCAGCAAAACCCAAGTGCGCAGAAGGGTTGCAGGAATGAGATACAGAAGCAACGCCAGTGCTTGGTCCTGGTGATGCATGATAAGTCGACGAGTCGTGTGGTCTGGCCGACGAGGTTGAGGAGGGGTCGGGGGGGGGGGGTGCCGGGAGGCGAGGGGCAACAAAACAGCAAAACGACAAAGCTTCAACGAGCAAACGAAACATAAGAAGAAAAGACAGTGGAGCCGGGGGCAGGCCGAAAGAGAAGAAAAGGTGAAAGACAACGAGCAGGCAGAAGACAAAAAACAAGGGGAAGCCAGAGGAGGAAGGGGGGGCCGGAGGAGGAAGGGTGGGGGCGGGGGGGGGGGGAAGAAAACAAGCCAAAAAGAAGTGCACGAAAAAGTCGCCATGTAAAAAACACGCGAGGGCAGGACAAGACGGAAGGGTAGGAAAAGGGGCCGGGGGAAGGCCCGGGGGGAGGGGGGCCGGGAAGGGAGGAAGGGGCGGGGGGGGGAAGCTTCAACGAGGAAGCAAGAGAGCCAAAAGACACGAACGAAACATAAGAAGAAAAGGCAGTGGAGCCGGCCCGGAGGGGGCAGGCCGAAAAAGCCAAAGCGAGGGCAGGACAACACGGAAGGGTGGACTGGCCGGCCGGAGGAGGAAGGCGGGGCCAGCACGAGGGCGAGGGGGGGAAAGGAAGGAAAACAAGCCAAAGAAGTGGGGCGGGGGCGAGAGGCAACAAAAAAGCGAAACGAGAGCTTCAACGAGGAAGCAGGAAAGAAGCACGCAAACGAAACATAAGAAGAAAAGACAGTGGAGTGAAAGAAAACGACCAGGCAATCGAAAAAACACGCGAGTGCAGGACAAGACGGAGGGGTGGGGAAACAACAAAGGAAAACGAGCGAGGAGGGCAGAGGGGAGGACGGGCCGGAGGGGGAGAACAGAGAGGGAGGGGAGGGGGGGGGGGTAGGGGAGGGGCGGGAGTGGGGGGGGGGGAGGAAGGAGGGGCCCGGGAGGGGGGGGGCAGGAGAGGGGGAGGCAAATTCGGCAGCAAAAAAGGACGGAAGCCGGGCAAGGGGGTCGAAAACAGTCGCTAAAAGCGGGTGGAAGTTTGCATTTGGGCTGCAGGGGGAAGGACTACGTAGAGGGTTGGTTAGTATTAACCATCAAGACGGCAGAGGCCTTTGGCCTCGGCGGATATTGGTATGATAGTATTCGTACTAGCAGTCGTATTCGTGCTGGTACTAGTATCAGTACTAGCATAAGTAGTAGTACTAGTGTCCACTTTTGTCCGCAATTTGAGAGCTCAAGCTGGCTGCAATCTGTGAGCCTGGTCTTTCCTGCAGGCTGGCAGCACAGCCCCTGGGTTTATTCAGGGGTTTGCGAGGTTGAGGGTCCTAGAATCACCGGACCTTTTAGGTAGGGTCGACAGGTAGCGACAGTTAGAACTACTTGCAGCCCTAGGTCAGTTGGGTAGAGCCCTTCATACCTTTTTCCTTGAAGTAAGCACTTCTTATTCTCCAAGAGTTCTGGTACAACATCATGGATGGGCTTTGGGGCTTAGCCTGTTAGCGACAGCTGGCTCTGCTGATAAGGCTTCATCTCTGTTAAGCGATAGCTTTCGTGGGGCCTGAAAAAGGCCCTGGTGATCAGGTGATCTATGCTTCAACATTGGGGGCTTGTTGGAAGGTGTGCCTAAAACAGAATTAGACTTTCTAGGCTTTGCGCCAGATCTTAAGAGAAACTCTCGTCTCACTCATCATGCCTTGGCTCAGGGTTTCGGAGTCAGATGAAGGCCGAAGAGCTAGCTTGGCTTGTGCTTCCCTAACTATTCAGATAGATGTCCGCCTTGTTGGATCTTCGGATGTCCCGGCAGGTCATCATTCAACAAGCTGCAGTGAAGCAGCGTAGTTTTGGAGCTGCACTGTTATAGGTCTTCGGTGAATCTGTAAAGAGCGGATGCTATGACCGCTTGACCTACCCAAATCGCAAAACCCAAATCCCTAAGCCCTAAACGCCGGACCTGGGGTAGGCCATGCTCGTGGATTCGGCACAGCACGATGGGGTCCAGGCGCGAGCTCGCATTGCAAGGGATAAGTTGCTTTGGCTGATCTCCACTTGTTGCCGAGGGTTTTATCCAAATTGAGCTGCCCTTGTGTGGAACGAAAGCTTTTGCTGGCCAGCATGTCCTTGATCGTGGGCGGCGCCAGCCGGTATTGTCTCGGAGCCCGCGACTCGCCCACGTGTAGGCACAGGCACCTCATCAACAGCTCCAGTGCTGAAGCGCAGAAATTTTGATGGCTCTGTTAGATCATACTCGTCGGCCGGCTATGTGGTCAGTTATCCAACCATGATGGCCGCCTAATGGCACATGTATATATGTATATATATATATATATATATATATATATATATTATATAGATACATCTATATATATATGTATATATATATGTATATATATATATATATGCATATACACACATGTAAACATGTATGTACGTATAAATACATTTATGTACTTGCTGTTCATTTGTGTGTATATGCGTATGCACATGTATATACATATGGATATGGACATATTTGTCCCTCGGAGAAGTCAAGACATCGCTTGTCGCCATGCCGGGGTCGGAAGCGAAAGTTGAAGAAAACGGCCACACCCTGATGAAGAAGGCAGAAGAGGACGAGGTCATCGAGGACGAGTTCAATATTCACTCAACAGTCGGCCTGGTCTCTGCACTGCTGCTGTCTTGCCTCGCATCGATGGTGAGCGATTCCAAGGATCTCAAAGACTTCGCAGAGGAGCGCGACCGCAGATGGGAGTTGCAAGACGAGGGAGTCTCCATCTTTGACGTCTACCAGGCCTTGATTTTCGTCTGCATGTCGTGCAACTCGGTGATAGCAGCAGTCAACTTTGTAGCGACATCCGTCACATCCGACCAAGTTAGCCTGTGTATGTTTGTTAAGAGTTGCATCCGAGGCAATGTGCTTGCCATCATGACGGCGATTGCACGCCTTATTGCTTTTCAGCGAGTTGCAAAGTCTGATGCCCCGGAGTTTCAGAGGATAATGGGAGCAGGACGGGTGGGATGGTGCACAGGTGCGCTGCCAGTTGTGGCAATGGCTGCTGGTGTTATCTCTTACATTCTGGTCATGCTGGTTCAGGGATACCTGGTGATGCACATGAAGACCTTCTGGTTCTGTGTGGCGACCATAACTGTCTGCATCATTCTCTGGGCGAGCCACGAAGTATGGATCATCCTTGCGAAACGAGCTGTGAATCACCCTGAACTCCTCAAGCTTAGCTGTGCTGACGCACCTCAGGATAGCGAGTATGAAGAGCTCGAGAGCTCCTAGCCCAGAGCTGCTTTTGATGCAAGGCTGCCCGCTTTTTGATTGTCTGCAGCCCGTGTGTGAACGACCAGTTTTGAAGAAGTACCCGCGATGCCGAAGACACTGCGGGCCAGTTTGGTCAGTTGCCGACCATGCTTGGTTCTCATTTATTCCCCCCTCGGTTCTTCAAGCTGAGGGTCTATAGCAGTGGTAGATAGGGTGCCACAGAAAAAGTTCTGCTGCGAAAACGGCGGGTCTTGTGGTGTGCCCTCCTAGTCCAGAACCCTTATTCAAAGTCCGAACCATAAACCCTTCAAAGCACACGGCCTAGGCCCCTTAGTCCCAAGTTTTGACACCACAACGTCGTGTTTTCCCTCACCCAAGCCCCGGCCCGCAAACCTCACTCTCGGTGCGGCTTTTGGATCCGCAGCTCTAGACCGTCCCGGAATCCTGGCCGAAGGTTTCTAAACCAGGCACACATGCAAGCCCGCAGCGGTAAACTCCGAAGCCAAATCCCTGAAATCTACCTTGAGATTGAAGCAATTCTCAAGCAGAGCACAAGCTCTAAGATGCGATGTTAAGTTTTCGACAACGGCCACATGTCCTTTACGGCTTTTGATTTGTTTCTGCAGAGCCTAAACCCAAAACCCAAAACTCTAAGCCCCGCATCCATGCTCGTAGTTCTCTTTGCCCTGGATCCCTTGGCAGAGGTCTGAACGCTCACTTGCCCTGGAATCCAGCACCAATCCTCTAGTACCAGTGCAAAAAGCTTCCATTACTAATGCACGAAAACCTACTGCTATTGCCAATGCTCCTACTTTATTACTATTCCTACTGCCTCTGCTTTGACCAGGTGCGGGATCGGAGAAGAGGACTGGCATGTCGCGCGTGAAGGGATGCTGCGAGCTTGACCTCCTCCCTGCTTGTCTCTATTGTGCCCTGGGTGCCGGAGACTCTAAAGCCATGATGTTGAAAGTGTTGCTGCAGAATCCAGCACTTGCCTCTTCTATGCTCCTGCTCTTCCCCCACCTGCCTATCACTAGTATGCAGCACACGACCCACAGAGTGCATTCCCGAAGCTCCACGTCCCGACTTTACGAAATGTCTCATTGCCAAGCTTTCCCTAAACCCTAGAAGCCCTTAGCCTGAAGCCCAGGGTGCTGAAACGACACCTTTCCCACCCTTCAAGAACTAGTCTTTTGGTCTTAGCCTGGCTTGTGACCGAGACCCTCGGCTCTCCTTTGGCTGGCGGATATCCTTATTTGGGTCCCTATTATAATACGGCACCTATTATTCAGGGTACCCAAAAAGGGACCTTAATTTTGACAACTATGGGCTCTGAGGTTTGGGGGCTCAGAGTTTAAAGTTCACAGTTTCGCCGGATGCAGGAGGCTCCTTGATCCGCGAAGGATGCATTCGGGTCGAGAGTGTGTCGGTGTTGGAGTTCAGGCAGGCTTGCACACCGTGTCAGCTAAAAGCTGAAACGTTGGATTATCCATACCTTCTGCACCATCTGCCCGAGCGCAAGCACTGCGTTCCAAGGCAGCTAACAGCTAGCCCTGAAGCCAGAATCTTCGAGCAGCCGACCTGTAATGATGGATCAGACAGGGCTTTGTGTTGTGGGTTTTGGGGTCCAAGCAAGGAGCTATACTCCCAGAGATTTTTCGGACGTTTGTGGCCCTCCCGCAGGAAAACGCATCCGACCGATTGCGCCCTGGAATTGGCAGCAGCAATGCCGTAAGGTGGGAAGCTGGTGCATTTGCTCCTTGCCGTGCACCTTTTCCCGACCTTGCATATTGTCAGGACTTGCAAATTCCACCCGGCTGCTTGAACATCTGACTCTGTCACTTGTCAAGGAGAGTTTCGTTGCGTGGCACCTTTCAATGTCGGAATGCAGGTATTTTCTGTGGTGTCACATCATGTTTAAAGTTTAATTCTCTTTTAATTGCTGAGTCATTAGTTGCTAATTAAATTGCTGCATTTCTTGCAGACTTGTCGGTTAATGACAACAAGTTTGTTGGGACAAACTGCTGTTATGACCACGTGTATCATCAATGACTCTGGCCATTTGTTGTTAGTAGTGCTAGAGGAGGAACTGGTGTAGTATTGTTTACATCCTCCGCCTCAGCATCACCACTTCCACCTTCATCGCTAGGCTGTTTCAGTGTCGTAGTCATCTGTTTGCCGACTATATCAGCATCATTACCGCTTCCTGCGATCATGAGCATGATCAAGATTATTCCTTCTCGACACCATATGGGTAGTTGTCAAAATTATGGTCCCTAATTTTTGGGCACCCTAAAAACATGAGGTGCCGTATTATAATAGGGACCCCAAATAGGGACCGTAATTTTGACAACCACCCATGTAGCTTCCTGCGAGCCTTTCGGAGATTCGTGGGTCAGAGCATCTCAGAGCTGAAGAGCACACGGTCTGCAGCCCCAGGCCCATACTTGGTTTACTCGGTTTAGAGGTCATGGCGCTACTGGGAGTTTGCGCAACCACGCAAGCGCAGGAGTCATCCAGAGCATGCAGTGGCAGTAGCGACAGCAGTCTCAGTTTTTGGTAGTAGCGGTGCTGATGGTGCTGATGATGGTGTTGCTGTTGTTGTTGGTGGTGGTGCTGGTGGTAGGGTGATGGTGGTCTGCATAGTAGTTGCAGCAGCAGTCCTGGAAGAGTGAAAAACTTAGTCGATGGCAAGGCAGCAGTGTCAACAGCAGTGATGCAATACTGAGGTGCCTCGTGCACAAGTAGTGCTTCCAAGACTCGTGCCGCTCTTGTCACTTTGAGCGCCAGGTCATCTGAGACCAAGCTGGGCTTTCAGAAGTGCTGCACATGCAGGAAGCTAGCTTTGGGTCTAGAGCATACTGTCGAATGATCAGCGGAAGCATGTGGTGTACAGTCCGAGGTCCAGCAGTTAGGTCTGTCACAGCCGGACACGCTTTGAAGCAGAGCGTGCTCGATAAATGACACCTCCAAGTCGAGCTCGGCTTCGCCTAAGCAAGCCTTCCATTGCACCATTAAACTGCTCTGCTTCAGGGTTTTGGGTTTAGGGCCTAGGAAGCTGGTTTCTTGTTCGATCTCCAGCATGTCGCGGGTGGGCAGCAGCGAGAGACACGTTTGTGTTTGCACTTGCACTCGCGGCATGCGAGCTTCATGCCACCTCAGAACCCGATGCACAAAGAGGTGACAGGACGGCTTTTGACGAAAGTTTCTGTGCAACCGAAGTGGAACCGACAAATCTGTCAGCTGTGTTGTGCGGCAACGTCCAGCAACCAGCTCATTACAGCATGGCTGGTCTCTGTGGCTTTAGACTCAGAGATGGAGGTGATCTTTACAGTCCTTAAGCTCGGTTGTCGTAGTCCGCAGATGAGGCGGGTGTTCATGCGTCGCAAGATGATCACGCCCAACTCCTCGACGGGGAGCACATACAGTAGAAGCCAAAAAGTTGGAACATCAGTAGCCTCATGCCCTTAAAGTAAAGTAAAGGGAAACCCAGCATGAATCATCCTAAATCCATGTTCCAACTTTCTGGGGTTCACTATAATCATCGGCTAAAGGCTTGGCCAGGTTCGGATTTCCGGGTTCGGACGAGTCTCGCCTGGCTCAATGATTTTCGGGCGTTTTCGGGCATAGAGTGCTCTGTGGCAAGGTTGCTGAGATGTATGAGATGGGTGGATGGACGATGCATGCCTGCGATCAAAGTTGTGATGCTGAAGCATCGGGAGGTCTTTGATGCTCGTGGTCGGTCTTGCTGCATCGTCGGAGGTCAGAGCACACACCAGGCAGCGCCGAAGCCAGCCATCCGGATCATGTGCAGCATGTCCCTGGCTCAGCGAAGGAGATGTGTGAGATTTCGACCTGGCGAGTTTTGCAGCATCCTGCGGCCAAATAGACGACACATTGGCTTTGGCATGCGTCACTGCCCAAGAGGGCGCTAGCTGTAGTTGTGTACCAGGATTGAATCACTCCGCTTGCACCACCTTCCAATGCCTAGGTTCTAGACGTCGTTCAGAGGCACCTTTTGTGCAGGCCACTTGCTTCAAGAGGGATTTCAGGCGGCCCCTGCAGTCTCATCGTCAGGTTTTCGTGTCGAAGCTGGCTTTGCTGCAGCACGCAGTTCGGGCACTTTCCCTGTGTCGGTGCGTGACTGCTCAGCCAGACTCTTCAGCAGGTGAGTGCGCGTCAGCTATCCGGTCCGGCCTCACTTCCTCGTACTGAGCAGTCTGCGATGCTCTCGTGTCTGTGTCAGGATGTTCCCCCCACGCCGGGGTGGGGCTGTTGTTAGAGTTGTTCAAGATCGCTTGCAGAACAATCGCCACCGATTGTGTGCATGAGTCGGTTTTCGTCTGGGGGCCTGTGACGCAAATTTCCTTGACAAGTTCAGAAGATTTGACCTGCTAGCTAGTTGTCGAAAGTCAGCAGTGATCCTAACTACACTGAGCAAGAAGTAGAGCTGTCATGATCCCCTGCACTGGATGTTAGGTGAGCATCAGAAATATTCGGACCGGTTCCTCCGACTCTAGGCGCAGAGCCTGAAGCTCACAACGCCGAGATCCTTTGGTTGATGGTCCTTTCTACCGTTGCATGACTCTGCATGACTGCTGTGGCCTAGTGCAAAAACAGCAGACTGGAGGCACTGATGCGGTTTGCTCACGGCCGAGGCCAGATCGTTCCAGCTCGCAAGACGATCCGGTCTGTCATGCCTGAGCTGAGATGCTTTGCCTTGCTGGCCGGTCTTCAGGGTTCTCGGAAGTGCCCCCTTGTTGGGTCACTGTAGCGTGGAAAGCCTCCGGAGTTTGAAGCTTGTCTTAGTCAACGATCTCTTGCAGCCACCAGCAGCTTGGCTGTGAGAGGCTTCCGTGTCGTTGTATGTATGGTGGAGGGCTCGTTCCCAGTATTTACGAATCTGAAGGCACACATGTCAGCCTGGGTGTTACTTGGCAATCCAGTACGCAGTTGTTACGACAAGAACTCTGAGACCCACCGACATGAGAACGATAGCTTGTAATGGTCTGCGTGAC